AAAAACTTACGTTTACATAGGCTGTCGGTAATTGACGTTAAAATATGTTAACTTTTATATTATTTTATATTCAATTCCTCTTTCCAATTTCTAAACTCCTGTACACGACGCAAGATGGTTCCATATTAGTTGGTGTCTATTAATATTCTGAGAATAGCGTAGTGGGTCTACCTCTACGCTATTCTCAGAATACGTACGTACAAATTTGAACGTTATTACTTTATCTCTACACACTTTCGGTGGTAGGGCCACGCAGCAGCCTCGGCTGTTGCACGAATGGGCAGGCCCGTCCGGGTAAGTACCACGACCTCACAGAAGACCACCGTAAAGTGGAAGTATGACTAATACTTTCACGTTTCGTCTGGTAGCAGGAGGTAGCCGGAGCCCAATTTTCAAAAGGTTGTCAACGCATCTGTAACCCTCGGGTGTAGCAGATGTCCATGGGTGGCGGTATTCACTTAACATCAGGAGAACCGTCTGCTCGTTTGGCAACTTTTCACATTAAAAAAAAAACTTTCACCAACTTCACATGGATATGCTAATTTTTATTGAAAGTAAATTTTATTGTTGACTTTTAGTGAGGAACACTTAGCCATGTTTTCCTCCACTCCGTTTTGGATGGTCATTCACTTAAGCCTGGTATTATGGTTATTTTTTTTGAACAATCATATACTTTAGATACCTAGACCAATGTATAAACAAATCAATGGCACCACTTTTGAATTCCCGATAGTATTTCAATCACCTTTTAACGCGACTATTCATGTTATAGATTTCTGAAATAAATTATACTATACAAACTATATAAAATTAAAAAAAAAACATGCAATAAATTATTATCCATTGGGTGAAACCACCGCACAATACGTGTCGAACATATTATAATACCTGTAACAACGCAACCACCATTTCCAAGCTGCGTACAAGTCTAATTAAAGTTCCTTTTGTGCCCCAGTTGCATTGCAAATAGGTTGATTGGCGTGTTCTTCGACATAAACGACTAGACCGTGCCGTAACCGTGACTCGTTTTTACGCTAAGCTCAGACAGCGGGAAGTGTACGATAAATTTTTCCTCAATGCGTTTCACTCACCAGCTACGCCGTCCTTATCGCCAGCGCCGAAATTCACTTTATCAATACCGCCAACGGGTTCAGTAACATCCACGACCTGTCCAGTCTGTGTCCCAGCTGTATTTTTTTAACGGCCTCCGTGGCTCGTATTCGATCTTCGTTTTTCGTGTGCTACCGTTTACTCTAGCTACCGTTTGTCTTCTATTATTGAAATATAATACGTACTCATTCGTATCCTGTTAGTATCCATGTCTTTGAGTTGTAAAGCGTATTTTGTCTGAACGCATCGGTTATTACATCTTAATTTCAGTTTTGATTGTTTTGGTAAACCCTTATTTATCTAAAAACTATTTGTATAAATAACATTCCTTTTGAAGACCCCCAACAATGAAGATGTTTTGTCTTTAATATTTTACGCGCGTTAAATTGTCATGTGTTTGATAATCGAAAGCTCCCATAGCTTCGTTTAAACTGTGTGATCATTTCCATCCTTTGATTCTATAGACGTGACGCAGGCTTCTAGAGCGTCAGATGAAGCTTTAATAGTCTCGGGACTGAAAGCAAAAACATCAGTTAATACAAGAGGCTTCTAGATTCAACGTACGTTTTAAAGGCCTGTCACGTCTTGGAAACTTGTGCGTGCGTCAATACAAACGAATTAGCTCCATCAAGTTACAGTACTTTAGCCGTATGGAATGGTAACTACAATGTTTAGATATTGGAACCTATATCGCTTATCGTAATTAATTGGTTGCAATTGACGGTGCTAATAGGGATATGAATATGATTACCATTTATCAATGTCAAAAATTCGTTCGTTATATTTTTCGATAGCATTACCAAAAAGCCTGGTCATAATATTTTTTCACACTGCATTCTCTCCTCCTTTGCTATAACAATTTGGTTGAATTCATTACACTTTTAAAGTTAAAAGTAGATCTTTAAGCAAAAACGTTGTTCACCCATGAAATTTTTTTTATTTCGTTAACACCAGCCACATCTTGCATCATGTTTTAGTAAATATGCCTATGAAACGCTAACGATGCGACAATTAGATTTTAATGTCTATTTAACACAACCTAATTAACCGATGCGGCACTTTCCTAACCCATTAACCAGTATGGAACAATTCTATCGGTCTTAAGAAAGATCTAAAGCAAAAAATAAGTAAACAAGAATTTCGGAAGAGCTGGTAGGCGCTAGTCAAGATAATAACCACGAGACGGCCATTTCGGATCGCTTTTGTGACGCACTTGTCAAACATGCTATTTGGAGCAGCCGATAAAGCACATCGCACACGACCGTTGGCCTAACGAGAAATTAATAGCGTTAACGGGTTTCTGTGATCGCTCATCGTGGTATCGTTGAGGCACTCTGTGTGGCATCAGCATAAGCTGCGATCGTGTTCCTCAATTAATGCTGGACAATACTAGATTCGGTGTAGTGGTACTGGTGATAACTTGCGGCAATGTGTATACTGGGATCGCTCACCGCCGACGGCAGACGTAAGCTTTGCTCCGTGTCCAAAAGGTGCGTGGTTGGCCAAACGTGAGTTTTTGGGTCCTGTTCAAGAAACTTTGGCGATTGCAGCTCGTATGTGAGAAGTTCTTTAGATGAGAATTGAATATTTGGGTGGCGAAATTTTCCCCAGAAAATGTCGAGCCGAATAACACAAATTTACATCGCTTACAAAACTGATATTAAGGGGAAGTAACGTAATATTCTAAATGCGAAAATGACTCTGTCTCTCTGTCTCGCTTTCACTCCAAAACTACTGAACTGATTTAATGAAATTTGGTACACGGATAGTTTAGAGCCTGAGGAAGGACATAGGCATATTTATTGGAAAAAGTGTTGTAAAGGGTTGAAAGATTTTTAAGGGCTTTAACGCGAGCGAAGCCACGGGCAAAAAGCTAGTAAAAAATAAATGATATACAGGGTGGCTTTTCTAAGTGTATCCATTTTTTTTATTAAATTCTAGACATAAATAATGTTATATAAAAAATGATAAATATTTAAAATCACTAATAGTAATTAATTTGAACTTATCTCAAAAAATGCGTGATTTATACGCACGATCATTCATAACTAAACACGCACACAAGTTCGTGCACAGTAAAATTTAAGTATTTATGAATGACTACCGCATTGTCAAAAAGTTCTGTTTTTTAGGGAATATATGGTATTTTTTAGGTATTTATTTAATTCAATATATTATTAATGTATTCATTTGTAATTATGAATTATTAGTACTTTGTTTATTTTAAATGTATAGTTCAGATACTTACATATATACTATAAAGCGTAAATATTTAAAAATCGGAAGCTATATAAACGCGTTATCTCTATCGCCGTAACGCTTCCGTTGGATTGTCTTCCAAATAATTCTGCTATCCCTTAGTTGCACATAGATAAGTTTTACTTCAAAAACTTTCTTTCATTGCACAAAAATCACTCGTATAACAAGTTATATTGCATAACATTTGCATGAGTACTTTTTTTTAACACGGCACTAACCTTACGCGGTTGCCACATATTCTCGACATACCTTCCTATCGAAAGATAATCCGAGCCTATTTCTATTGCCAGACCGATCGTGGCTTACAATCTCTCCAGAAATAAATCCCTAGCAAACAATTTATCAAGCGATTAGTTTTAAAGCGATGCGGTTGGATGGTGCTATGATAAATGTCGCGCCTAAAGCTTTTATAAACTCGCTGTGTTCAGTTGTGACTTGTTCCGAACATATATTCTCACCCGAATCCATAGATTCTTATACTCTGGACTTTTTACCGTATTTTTTTATATTAAATCGTCTGAATTTGATTTTATTTTGTCATTTACATCTCAGGATTTTGTCATTTACATCTCAGGATTTTGTCATTTACAAAAAAGTTATTTTTAAGATTATTCAATATCTTTATTCCAAACTGTTGTTTATCTCTGATATAATTTTTCCAATATCTTTTTTGTTATTTTAGGATGACAATCATTCTTCACACGACGTAATCGTATTATCTATAGCCTCCTCGATAGTGTAACCTCGATATTATGTATAAAGCTTAGTTTTTGTGACAAGAAAAATTCAAATTAATTACAAGACACTACACGAAAAGTCGACAATGCTGTACACAATCATTAAAAGATAGTTTTAATTACAAGCTCCGCTTCAAGCTGTAATGGTTACTTGTGAGCGCGCGTAGTAAACAATTAAAAACATATACCATACCAGTTCTGTATAAAGAACAAAATACAAAGTATTTTTTTTATATTTCAATCTTTTTTTATATATTATCGGTCAAAGTCAAATTTGTGATTTTGCGATCTTTAAAAAAAATGTATAAAAGAAAATAATCTCTAAAAATATAAAGGTATATATCGCGAATACTCTTGGGGCCGTTTTTATTTGTATTTCAAAAAAGAATATTTTAAAAAAATCCGGTTGAAAAACAGCAATCCTTACAATTGTTCAAACAATTACGGTTTAAACAATATGGCACGAGGTTACCCCATGGCAACAAACATTTATATCATCAGTAGGGCAATTTAATGACGATCGTAAATAAAAATGGAGGGAGAATATTTTACGGTACTCATGCGCCGATTCCTCCTAGACTAAGTTAGCTTATAGAAAACTTTGCAAGAATAAATGAATTGATGATGAAATTTAATATGTGTTAAAATAACCGGATTAAGTATTATTGATTATTTTAATTACGTAAATTTTTCGTGTCTTTACATTGATGCTTATTTTTAGCAAAAAACACCGACAACTTTACACAATGAATTACCAATTGTGATTTGAAACATTTGACACGTTTTAACGCGATAACTGTTCACCATAAATCTTTCGTGGCACCGTCGGGAACAATTGTGAATTGAGACGTTTTCGCATTAACTATTCACCACAATCTCCCATCGCATCGCCAGGAACAATGAGAAGAGGAAGGAGAAGTCGCGCGTGGCGGCCCGCTGCCGCCGCACGAAGGAGATGCAGATCTTCGCCGAGCTGACCGCCGCGCTGCCCGCCAAGAAGGAGGAGGTGGAGCAGCTGGACAAGGCGTCCGTGATGCGCCTCGCCATTTCCTATCTGCGCGTGAGGGACGTCGTCTCGATGCGTGAGTGCTTCTCTCTTCTTTTTGTTTTTATCTGAGACTAGCGACCGGCTTCTCTCTTTTTTTGTTGATATCTGAGACTAGCCACCCGCTCCGGCTTCGCACAGGTGCGACGTATCTTTACTTCCTTTCCTTACTCTGTATATATATACAGCGTGTCTTTACCATCACGACAATAAATGAACACACATATAGAGGATAACTTTTTAAAACTGTATTAAAGATTTACATTCTTTAAGCATCAATATTTAACGAGTTATCCAAATTTTCCAAATTCTAATTAGAACACCCTTACGTATAAAACTTTAATGTAAAGTTCATTTGTAACGGTCACGAAGCATATGAATGGGTTGAATGAATTTAAAAGAGACCAAACATACTGTTAGAAGGAGAGGCTTGTAATGCGACGCTGTAGCGCGAGTAGTATAGGATGTTACAAATTTTGTTTCTTTTTTAATTAATTAGTTTGTTTGAAAAATTTTTTTTTTAATTATGGATTTTGTTTAACGTTAATATTTTTTTATGATTATTGGTAAGTAGGGTTAGACGTGTGTTCATTTATTGTCGCGATGGTAACGACACGCTGTATATATATACCTATGTATATAAAAGATTTCCACCGATAATTGACTCATCACGACATCTCTGGAACCATAAGGCGTGGAGACTTGAAATTTGGTAGGAATCTTCCTTTCGCCGAGCTAAGAATGGATTTTACGAAATTCCACAAAACAACGTTTGCCGGATCAGCTAGTAATATTATAAACGCGAAAGTTTGTATGTATGGATAGATGTTTGGCACTCTTTCGTACAAAAACTACTGAATGGATTTTAATGAAACTTTACAATAATATAGCTAATAAATCAGAATAACATATAGGCTATTATAAATAAAGATATTATGTGAATTATCCAAAATATAACAATAGGTGTCAAGTAGGAAAAATTCAGCGAGCTATTCTGGTGTATAATTAAAAACTTATTGTTGATTCCATTGGACCGCGCGGGCGAAGCCGCGTTTAACAACTAGTTAAACATATAAACCTTCCTCTTGAATCTAAATGTAGTAAATCTAACTATCTAGTAAAAAAAATAGAATCAAGATCCGTTGCGTAGTTTTAAAGATCTAAGCATACATAGGGACAGACAGTATGTAGTGAAGTTGACAAGCCAGCGCCTGTGCACCTGATATAGATTGCCGCCACTCATGCTACAGCCCTAGCCGTAATAGCTCACTGTCCGGGCGCTCGCTTTTAATTCTGGATACTCGAGCAACCTGACTTCGACCCCGTTGACGGCACGGTTTATTTATTTATTTATTTATTTAAGCTTCATTGTTACACCTTAAGCTAAGTACTACAATGGGCGGACTTAATGCCTAATGGCATTCTCTACCAGTCATTTTAAGTGCTGATTTATCACGAAAAGAAGGAAAACATCGCGAGGAAGCCTGCATATTTTCGAAATAATGACAAAAAAATATTTCTTAGATATGTGTCTACCGATCCGCGGTGGGGATGCGTGGTGGAATATGCCCTAATACCCTCTGTACAACGTATGCCTTTGCGTCAGACAAATATAGGTTGTTACTTTACTTTTAATTTTTATAAAATATAATATTTACGTCGATAAATAATTACTGCTTATTTATTTTCATCAAACTAAGAATTTACTCATTGAGTGCATAAATTCGTACTTATAACATCGATTTTTGTTTCTTTGACCAATGAACACACACAGTGTTTAAAAACTTAAAAATTTTACAATTCTGTTTTTAACAAATACCATACTGCCGAATCACGCTCACAATACTATAATCTCATTACTATGAACCTGTATCTTCGTCAGGATGTATAGTTTTTTATAGTTCGTAATTTTTTATGACATATATAGCGGTGGTCAAGTTAATACGTAATGCTCTCGTGTGATGAAACGTGCTTTTAATTTTATTTATTTTCAACTTATAGCAAATACAAATAATACGGTTTTATTTACTTAATCCTTCTCTGCATTTTTGCCAGACAAATCCGTATTAGTTAGTAAGTTAGTGTATATTTATTTTTATTTTTTTAAAAACATTGCCCTTACTTTAGGATAACATTATCCTGTGTTGTAAGGAACATAAATTTCACGCGGACAAACACCCAGATGCGTAACAACTATCTGTGGGCCGATCAAATACTTGTCCCGTGTGTGAATCGAACCCAGGACTCCCAAAGCCGAAGCCTATACCTTGGCAACTGCGCCACGGAGTTGTATTGTACGTAGTTCAGATAAAATGTGAGGTAATAAAGCAATATTATCACATTATGTACATCAAGAAGCCGTCCTCGCAAAGCCATTTTATCGGTTTTGTTTACACTACTTTTAAACTTGAGGTAGAGATAAAAATATTTAGCACCTATTACTCATAAAAAATATGGCCTCGTGTTCCATTAATATCGTTTTTATACATAAGTTAGACTTTTATACATAAGGTTTATTTTCCATGTCGGCCTAGAAGATTTCCAAGTTACGATTTAATGAGGAAAACAATTTTAACGTTATCGACATATGCCCGGTTCCTATAACTTTTATAACGACTTGTAGATTAAAGGGACGCTATTAAAGTAACTCATTTTCCGTAGGTAATGCAACGGCTCTTTAGGAAAACGCCTCGTTTTGTTAATATAGGAACCGGGTGTACCCGCCTTTTATCGACAAGTCATTATGAAAGTTACGAAGCTATGTAACTAACAGCCGTTCGTTGAAAATAGGAACCGGGCAATAATCGAGTTAACCAATGAAACGCCTGTAGGAAATATAGTAGAAGAAACTGAGATGTTCTTAACGGACTAGTATATTGGATATATAAATAGATCAAAATACAGTAAAATTGCATAATGTTGAACGGGTAAAAGCGCGGTCAATCCCCCTGCCCATCCTCACAATCATGTTAACTTTTAAATGAGAAGTTTAGTTATTAATGCTAAACCATACACTCCAAGTACGTCGAAAACGTTTTTGATGATACTAACGCATTATTATGCAGACCATCACAAGGAACTGACGCACATGTTGACGCGTCAAACTGAAAAACGCAATGCATTTGCCTAAATGCAAATGCATTCGGAATTCAAAATTTCACTACCAAATCAACAAAGCAGCACGACTGCTAAAAAATCAAGTTTGAACAATTGAACGGTACGTCATGCCATTTTGAATTATTGTTACTTGAGAAGAGTGCACTCGCAGCCTGGTTATTGGGCAGGTCTCTCTTTACAAATTGATTTTGATTACATAACGTGGCATTTTACACCTTAGATATCTTCCGTGCATGCGTCTTTAATAAAACTCTATCTGATGCGCTTTCACGTTTATTTTACGTTAATATGACAACAATTCATCTTTTATCTAGGTGACCGGTTGATCATTAATCATCATCAAGAGTTTAATCATCCTTTTGGCAACTCAAATGACATTTGACAGCTGATTAGTTAATTTTTACGATGATCGGTGTTTCAGAAAAGGGGCGTAAGTGTACTAGATTGAAGTAGTTCAACAGTTTTGCTATAGACATTGGGAATGTTTTCAATATATAAATGCTTAATTTTTCCGCCGATGTGCTACTTTTCCTGGAAACGGACACTACTTCTTTGCTCTATCAAATTTCGTTCAGTTTTTACAGCGTGCTTTTTTATGTGAAAAATTGGCGAACGAGCTGGTGGTTCACATAATATTAAGTAATAACCGCCACCCATCCGTATGGATATTTGCAACATCCATAGGGATGCAAATGCGTTGCCACAACTAAATAAAGTGGGCCCCGGCTACCTCACTCACCAGACGAAACGCAGAAGTGTAACACTTCTACTTTACGCCGCTCTTTTGTGAGGTCGTGGTACTTAACCGGACGGACCTGCCCATTGGCGCAGCAGTAGAAACTGTTGCGTGGCTCTACCACAGTTACAGCTTCGCTAAGCTTGATTGCGTTTGGTATTTACTGAACTTTTTTATCGATCCTAATTGTTTTAATTTATTACAATAAAAACATTTATATTTTCCTCATCGCTGTACTCATAATTGAGTAATAATACCTATTTTATTACCACATTTAATATTGGTATCCTCGCGACATATTTGCGAATACATCCTCCGAATAAATTCCTACCGTTCATTTGCGCCTCATTTAAACGAACGAACACACAAGCACTCAAATATCGTAAGCGAGGCACAACACACACTGTAACGCCTTAATCCCCCCACGAGTTGTCACTTTACATTTGAGTATACGCGTTAGTTATATTTTTAAACGGCGACATTCTTCGTTATAAGCAGGGCGATTTATCGGCAGGGTTCGTTGAACGCTGTGTCCTATTATTGCATAATCACTCACTACTTCTCTGCCATTGTTCGTGCTGTTGCATTTATTTTCATTACTCGCTAATGTTTTGTGCATCGATACCGATGATTTATTGTTGATTTATTATATTAACAAGTCTAAAACTTATGAAGTTGGCGATTAATTTTGTTATAGTAATTTTTATGCGCGAAATTTTAACAAATATTAGACAACTTAAATTATTTACATTACATAATTAAACCTCAAAAATATGGGCGGAAAAATCTTAATTTGTAATACACGTTATTTCACGATAAATTTCTTTCTTCTATTTATCATAAAGTTTTCTACTAGCCCACCGTGAATTAATTGTGTTTTATGCCAGCGTCCCAACTTCAAGTCCCTTTGTTATAGTTTCTCACCTAGCAGAGGTTCTCTCTCTCGTCTTCTGACTATGTATGTCAATTTGACGGTACGTCAGCATACCTAGATTTTCTCCCTACCCATCTCATCGTCATCGAAAAGCTCCCCCTATCTCATGTATCACAACACTACGTTTCTCCATATCGTCTTAGGCCTGCCTCTGAATCTTAGATCGGATATGGAAAACTGCAATAGCACACAAAAAGTTCACAACGCAGTCTTCACGTTACCATAGAATTGTATCGGATATCAAGAAACCCAAGCCTATCTTGTGCTTGCTCGTTGCGAGCCCGGTGAAGCCGCATATCCACCTCAGTCTTCGTTTGAATGATACGGACATTTTTTGAATCCATGTTTGGTTGCCGTACCTTAGAACTGGTCGTAAATGAAACATTTGAGCTTGACTGATATTTTTTTCTCAATTCCCAACATAACCACCACAATCAAGTATTTCTACGCTTGGACGTTGTCAAAAATTACGGTTCTGTTGTCAGAAATAAAATAAGATTGACAAATCGACACCAATTGTAAAGTCCTGTGATAACATGGAAGCTTTAGGATCACATGGACTCGAGCCAAAATTGCGTGCTTGCCAATAAAACACGTCTCAGTGACAATTAGTGCAGCTTCAAATAAAATAATGTGCACACACGAAATAGGTTTCCAATGGTAATTAATTTAAAGAGAGAAAATATTCTAGAATCTACTTCGTCTGGAATATTGGATTTTTTCACCAGGACTATGGATTAGAAATTGGTGTTTCTAACTTTAAAAAAATACCATATGACTAAAACGTTGAGCATTTAAAGTCGAAGAGCATATTATACAACATTATTGTTTTAACTTGGGATAAAATATTAAACAGTCTCGCTTATCTGTGTGAAGAAATCTAATCTTGAATGGCCTTCTTCAACATAGAATTGGCGTTCTTCAATGTTACGTCATTTAATTTTGTAACAAAGTTTACACTACAACTACAATAAACCTGTCAGACTTCATCGTTGAAGAAAATTAACGCGTGCTGGTTTCTTGAATTTGTCTCTACAATAGTCTCTGGAACTTCCCTAAAGGCATTTGTGGCATTACATCATAACGTTTGCATTACGATCATTACGTCGGAACTAAACTGGAAATGTACACGAGATTTCTACAAGATAGTGAGGTCTTGTATTCCTTGTTCCAGTCCAAATGTCCTCTTGAAGTTTGTCCATTTGTTGTGTTAACCTCTGAACACATTGAGATAGGCGTATTCGTGGAACAGTACGTTATCTGCCACTATACAAGTAGATATTACGTAAAAAAATTACTTATTAATTTCGGTTATATTATGGAGATATTCCAACATTTTTAAAAAAACTATTTGAAGTAAATCGAAAGTTTGGAAAGAAAAGATACTTCTTAGTTTAAAGTGTAGCCAAATATTAGACTGTTATAAAATTTACCGTATAATAAAAGTGTAAAAAGTTTTATGATCTTGTGTTCATGATTACATTTAGATTCTGATTCCATTTCGATAAAATTATTCACACTTCTTGTTATTCCGTATATTGTTACATTTTTACTATACTCCATTGCTCTCGTTAATATTACTTTGCAAATAGTGTTATATTTAATTTCAAAAACCTGAAACTAATTAATATACCCCACCAAAAATGTAGAACTCATTAATTAATTAAAATTCTACTGAAGCAAGTGATTGCAATTAACTTTGCGTTTATATTGGATTATATGATATTAAAGGTTATTATAAAATATATTTTTTTAAGGTTTACATCAAACATAAATCTTATCTTCTGTTTGTACACTCTCATCCTTCTAATCCGAAAGATTATTAATACATAATTTGCAAACAAACCTCCATACGATCAAACATATTTCCAAGGCCCTGATGCATATGCTATATATAGAAAAGTAAAGTAAAGTAACAGCCTATACATGTCCCACTGCTGGGCAAAGACCTCCTCTATACAGAGGGTATCAGGGCCGTGATAGATCAGTGTCCGGGCGCTCGCCTTTAATTCAATATACTCGAGCAACCAGAGTTCGATCCCCGGTGCCGGCACCAATGAAGTTTTTAACTTTAAGTGCTGACATATCACGTGCTCCGCGGTGAACGAAACATCGTGAGGAAACCTGCATGTTTTCGAAATAATAACAAAAAAAAATATTTCGAAGATATGTGAAGTCCGCCAATCCGCAGTGGGGCCGCGTTCTGGACTATGCTATATATAGACAAGTTAACATAATCCTAACATACATGTTTATTTGCAATAACATACTGTAACAATATTCTCCGATATCGATAATTTTAGTAATTTTCATTCAGGTAGTTCGTCGCTCATACGTCTACGAATACAACTATTGTCTATGTCAACTTTTGTTACGTATCATAACCTCAGTTTCTTGTTAGAATATGCATCATGTTGAAATTGTTTCCATACTTTTTAATAAGTGCGTGTCAAGGCAACCAAGTCGATATCGTGTTTGTGCAAGGATTTATTTTCGGCAGCGTTCGTTTTGTTTTCCTCGAGCGGGCGGACGCATGCGAGACCGCAAATTTCCAGCTTGTTAAGATACACGGCACGTGTGTGCGCCGGCTGTCGAATTTGTATGTACGGCTTAAGGCGACGTTTCTACTTTCAATCGTATACTAATAATACATATCATCGATATGGCCTCGCAACAGCTTCTCCTGTTCCACGAATCGGCATCATCCTTCGGGGAAACACCATGAGGAAAACCGGTGTAAAGTGAAGTAAAAGGGGTCCCGCACTTTTAATGGTTGGAAACGCATCTGCTATCCCCCCCCTGTTTATTAGAGGTCTCTTAGGAACTTCTAATATAAAGAAAAAATGTGTTATTACTTTGGCTAGGCTGTCCACTCAATCTTGTAACCTATTTCATAGATGATAATAATGTTTATAGAAAATACTCTTTGAGACTAATTGGCATTTCTTCATTAGCATCTCATTTCTTCTTGAGCAAGCTTGAAGTAACGGATGATTGATATTGTTTATATTACGATTTCGGGGTTGGAGTCTTTATCGACAATATATTGCAATAACTTTATCCTCAAAACGTGCGTAGAGTATTCAGTGTTAAGTTTTAAGGTATATTGCGATAGAGAAAATTGCTTGTTCATGTGAAATCGAGGCAGGCCAGCTACTTATGAATATCGAGAAATGTTACAATATACATCAATTGGTATACAAAAATTCATATAATTTTGTTAGCGCTCGTCTTAAGTTGAGTCAATGACGTCAATGCTTTTATGTCTTACCTTTAATCTGCATTACTAAAAATTATTCATTAGAATTGTCTTTGAAATGTCAAACGTTTGTGTTGAAACGAAATTGATTAGATCCTTTCTTAAATAATATGTAAAATGAATATAGCTAACAAAATCATGCTGTTAAAATGTATTGGTAAAAAATAACCTCGTGCGAGATACTTAAAGGCCTTTGCGAATTTATCATTTTTATTATTATGAATCCTTTGGCGTAGTTTCTAAGCCTTTACGTGGAGTAATTATAAGCGAAAAAAAGTTTTGAATATGGGTGTTTGCAGTTAGCACTTTAGAACTACTACTACTATATACAATGCAGACTAATCTTGTTCCAGTTTGAGGATAATGTAAATAATGGTGATTACTTATGTAGATTTATAATATTTATTTTTATATTCATTTATAAGTACTTATTTGGAATGAAAACAAAAATATATAACCGGTGGTGTATATATAATCGACATTCGCAATCTAGTGATTCCTATAATGTTTTAAAAATTCACAGAAAATGAATAGAGCTTTTTCATTTTTTTTGTGAATGTCGGTGTTTTTCTTACTTATCTAATTTCCCCACACGCCTTTACAATGCTTCGGGATGAAAACTATTATTTTGCGTACAGCAATGGACGAACAATGTTTCGATTGTAATCGAACTTGACCGAATCCTCGAATGATTTACAATTGACACTTTTCAGTCCCCAATGGCGACGTCGAGTCGCCGAAGCTGCAGAGCCCTAAAGGGCTGGAGGAGATACAGTCCGAACTGTCGTACATGAAGGCTCTAGACGGATTCGTTCTGGTGCTCTCCCAGCAGGGAGACATCGTCTACTGCAGCGAGAACATCGCCGAGCATCTGGGCGTCTCGCAGGTGAGAAAAGATTTAGGTAGATACTATTAGACGATAGCATCTGCTTTCATACTCATATATAAAATATTATATAAAGTAGGTATATAAAATTTATGTTAATCACATACATTTAAAACAGGCTGACATAGGAAACTGATACTTTAAAAAAGAACTTAAATATCGCTGCTTCAACCGGCACAAACGCTATGAAGGTAAATATATATATATATATATATTTACCTTCATAGCGTTTGTGCGGGGATATATATATATCCAATGCTATATTTAAATCTGTATATTACTTGGCATTGCCATGTTTTTATGGTTCCGTGTCCTTCAGTTTGTCAGTGTCAGTCCGTCTGTCACCAGGCTGCATCTGCATGCAGAAATATTAAAAAACAGGCGTTATCCATAATTCTTATTTTAAATAATCAAATCAAATGAAAGCGTTTACTCAAGAGGATCTCAATAAGAAATATAAATGTCATCGATACTAATATTCTATCCTCTTTTTTGTCATTTTAATCACCAAATGGTAACGTAAAAAATTTTATGATGATTTTAGCTTAGCTAGATGAACGATATGCAAGAATACAAAACAAACATATTGGAACAAATAGATTGGTCTTATCAAACGTGGTAATGTTGTTCGATAGATTTTATTTTAGTTCGCAGAGTTTTTGTCATATGTTGACAAAATATCTGTTGCATAATCCTAAGGAGATTGGTATAGCTAATGCAAGTAAGTAAAGTAACAACCTGTACAAGGTCCACTGCTGGGAAAAGGCCTCTTCTGTACAGAGGGTATCAGGCCATAGTGCACCACGCGGCCCCACTGCGAATTGGCAGACTTCACATATCTTCGAAATATTATTTTTTTGTTATTACTTCGAAAATATCGCTAATGCAAGTATCTTTAATATTTATTATCCTTAATATCCTTGCATTTCAATCCACGATAAGGTTTGTTGCAGTTGTTTGTAAAGACTAAGTTATAGATATATGAAAAGTCCCCCAAAGACATTAAGGGAGCAGGCCAAATCCTTTTTTCGTTGAAGCTAATTCCGTAGGTCAGCGGTAAATAGGTTGATATAAGTTTGTTACTTTTGCAGTCTGTAGACTATAAGTGCTTCATCGAACCTAGAACTCGTGGGCTTTCCAGAACCCATTAGCTTGATACAGCTCTCCGCGTTGGGTAGCTATGCTCATGTGTGCGTTATCTTATAAGCTACGCGTTATGCGCTATCCGTTATCTTATTACACTATGCAATGGCCATCGAGAACGAGGTACGGACCGTGACCCCGATGGCCGTTGACATAAGTTAGAATTTGATCGTTCCGTTAACAGCTCATGCACTCCTATGACGAATTTGCCATCCTGAAAACAATGATTTGCGTATGTCTAAATGAAAATATATTTACATGGATACATGTCCCGTGGTTGATAATACTGTAGTGTTCACAACTCCGGTAGCTTGATTTTTTTATGTGTGAAGGTGGCTTACGAGCTGGCGTTTCACGTGATGTTAAGCGCGGCCCATTGACATTTGCAACACCCGTATAGTAGCAGATGCGTTGCCATCTTTACTAAAAAAAACTTAAAAAAAAGTGAGACCGTGCTACCTCACTCAACACACGAAATGCAACAGTAGTGTAACACTTCCACATTTCACGCCGGTCTTCTGTGTGCTCGTGGTACTTACCCCAACGGACTTTATTCATGCAAACAGCGAAGATTGTTGCGTGGCGTTGCGTGGTAGTAGGTAACTACTACCTTTAAAACATTACGCGGACTTCAATATTGTGACGTCCGTAGAAAATTTGGTTGTCAGGGCGAGACTTTACTAAGCTATATGGGTCACTACGGTATCTACGGCTAGCTTGTGATTTACAAACAGGCGCCATAATAGTTGAACATCTATTAAAAGTAAAAAAAGAACATCTATTATTTTGAATAAAAGATATGACATCGCTTGAATAGAATTGGTATATATAACTCATCTGAAATGCGGTTTTAGTGGGAACCGCTTTGTCGTTGAAAGCCGTTTTATGTTGAACTGTTTATGTTCAGCAGCTGTTGTAAAATCGCTGCCCGAAGCGTCCACGTCTTTCGATTTTAAATTTTATTTCGAGTAACTTCTTTAAAATAAGCGTCATTAACATTTAGTGTAACTTTGTGTGATAACTTTCTGAAGTGGGATTGAAATTTAACTGATAATATTACCTACAATTGCGAAAATTTTAATATTTTCATAAATTAGTTTTGATAAACGAAGTTATAACTGGTTTTGGTACCTATTTATAAATTTTCTTAGGCGTATCCGTTTGTTGCTGACGATTCAAGCAATGTATCCTATACATTCATTTTATTGGTCTAATAAAACTTATAGTACAATAATTTTGGGATCTAGTGTGTATTTTGTTTTATTTGTACATGTAATTATTTTGTTGTGTTTCTGACAACAAAATCATTAGTAAGAGTAAGAGTTACATTCAATGAGAATATTTGGTTAGGTTAGGTTTAATTTTTTGTGTTTTGTTTTTGTGTTATTTTTCAGTGCATGAATATTACCGTCAACGGTGTAAGATGGATTAAAATTTTAATAGTTCTTTCAATTTCACCATTCGTAAAGCTGAACTGAAAATAACATAATTATTTTTTTATGTGGTGCTTTATTGGATATTAAGTTTATCCGCCGCCCATGGATATTTGCAACACCTGTTGGATTGAGACCCGTTGCCAATTTTAATAAAGACTTCCTATGACCTCACTTAGCAGACGAAATGCAGAAGTACTTCCACCTCACGCCGGTCTTCTGTGAGGTCGTGGCACTTCCCCAGGCGTACCTGTTCATTCGTGCAACAGCGAAGACTGTTGCGTGGCCCTACCTGCTGGACAAAAGTCAACTTTCTATAGGTCTTTTATAGCATAGTCCGGTACGCGACCTTAATTCAAAGTGCAGAATTTGCATATAATCGAAATAATTCTTAAATGGAAATTTTTAAACGGTCGTAAACAACCGATTTTATACCATTAACAACATGTTTCAGATGTTAGACCGAACCCACCTCGGTGCGATAAAGAAGGGGTTGAATATCATGACCATGCTGGCAGAGAGCTAACTAAATACCAGCACACAATAGAATTTCTAATAATCGAAAATTCCAAAAAGGAATTCCCGTATCTGCGAAATGAAACAACAAAAACCTCATCCACTAAAATTGTTACTTTCTTATAATAGCAAGAACTCAATTAAGAGCAGTCTCTAAACCAGTCCCTAGTTGAATTTTCTGTTGCACAGAAGTAGTTTCATACATATTCGACAGATATATCACCACCCGTAAATATTGGCGAGTTATTAGGCCACATTATATAAACTGGCATAGCTAAACGCGGTTTAGCTCGCTCGTAAAGTCTATTAGCGCCCAAGCTGTTTTATTTATTTCTTTTGTTCTTTACGAATATATATAAATTGCTAAAGGTAAAACATTTCACTTTTTCTTCTTCTCCTCCGTTTGTTAACAGATTTTATTTTTTTTCCCTGTATTATCTCTTGATGATATTTAGTGCAATGAATAAAAAATTTTAATAGCGATTATGCTCGAACTTGGAACAGTAGTATAGACAAATAATAAAAAAACCGGCCAAGTGCGAGTCGGACTCGCGCACGAGGGGTTCCGTACCATTAACTATAAAAACGGCAGCAAAATCATGTCTGTTGGGATATATTTCCCACTTCTATATTTTTATTTTGTTTTTTAGTATTTGTTGTTATAGCGGCAACAGAAATACGTCATCTGTGAAAACGTCAACTGTCTAACCATCACGGCTCATGAGATACAAACTGGTGACAGACAGACAGCGGAGTCTTAGTAATAGGTAGAGGCCTTTGGCTACGGAACCCTCAAAATTGGGTACCATAGAAGTTTAACTTCAAACGAAGCGACATTGTAGTCTAGTATGTAGTTGTACAATATGTATCAACTTTTGTTTTATTTCCCCCTATTCAGATGGAGATAATGGGCCAGAGCGTGTTCGAGTTCAGCCACATGTGCGACCACGAGGAGATCCGGGACGCGCTCCGCCCCGGGGGCGGTGGCCGCCGCGACCTGCTCCTCCGCATGAAGTGCACCCTCACCAGCAAGGGGAGGAACGTCCATCTCAAGTCCGCCTCGTACAAGGTTCGCTTTGCATTTTTTATGAGAAAAGCTGCCAAGCGAATAGGCGGTTCACCTGGTGTTAATACCGCTACCCATGGATATCTGCCACACCCGAGGGTTGCTGACGCGTTGATAACCTTTTTGGGAATTCGGCTCCGGCCACCTCACTCACCAGACGAAACGCGAAAGTATTATACTTCCACTTGACGCCGGTCTTCTGTGAGGTCGGTGCTGCTTCTTAATTTTTTTTTAAAGACATTGCTCTTACTTTAGGATGATATTTTCCTCTGCTGTAAGGACGTTTCAAAAACGTAAATTTCACGTGGATAAACACCCAGATGCGAAATAACTATCTGTGGGTCACACAAACTGTTGTCCCGTGTTGGGATCGAACCCACGACCCCCGAAGCCAGTACCATGGGCATCCTATTATCCGATAAACATGTAAGTTATGTTACATGTTTATCGGATAAAGCCACGTGTTTAAACGGCTCTTTAAATTTCAAGTATGTAACAATTTAATTTGCCAGCGCCGTGACTTCCAGAAAAATGAGCTGTCAAAAATAATATCAAGGAAAAATTCAAAAAGTGTGGCACATTTATGAATTAACAATCATTATCTGCCTTTGTAGTTATTCAGATAAGACTAAAATTTGTTTTGTGTTAGTCAAAACCTAATCTTCGTGGACAAATTCAATATTTGAGGCGCCACTTATTATCTGTTGTCTGACCGTTGTTTCTCCTAATGGATAAACTGAACTAAAATGTTCCAATATTTACCGATGTTTAACTTAATCAATGTTATATTATAGTAAGTAGCTACTATAATACACGACTATAAAAATAGATTACGAATGATTTATCCATATTAAATTATAACGTTGGTACTTAAAAAGTAATTGCTGGGTAAACATTTAAACAACGAATTTGGTCGCAAGTACAACCTCATTGTTTATTATTTAAAAAAAACTACAAATAACTAAGGTCCCAGTCTGGACAAGGAAAACGAATAGTCGTGCTGGATGGAGGAAAATTGGAAAGGCGTATGCCCAACGGTGGGCGAACACACGCTGAAGAAGAAGAAGTTAAACAGAACTCTACCAAATTCCACCTTACTTTGGGACTTTAGAAAAACTGACTGTCCATATTTTAGTGTCCCTAAAGCTCTTAACTGTTTTTTCTTTATCTCACAGGTCATACAAGTCACCGGGCATATGCTTATGCCTGGCGAGGACAAACAGAAAGACGGAGACGGCAACACTACTGACGATGGTGACGAGAAGAAGACGCAGGGCGATGCGGTCAAGAAAATGGAGACGGGTGCGCTCGTGGCGGTGGGCCGACCGATTCCGCACCCGTCCAATATAGAGATACCCCTGGACAGCAAGACTTTCCTGTCCAAACACAGCCTCGACATGAAGTTCACGTACACAGATGAGGGGTGAGTAACGTTATATACCTGTCTATATTTCAAATTAAAAAAAAATCATTTAAAATAAAAAATTAAATAGAACAAGATCGCAGAGTTTCTTGCCGGTTCTTCTCCGTGCAGGTGTAGTTTATTGAACCGGTGGTAGATTTTTGTTGACGTTCAATAAGAGCTTAAGTTAGGCCTATGTTGAATAAAGATACTTTGACTTTGATTTCGCCGTGGTGACGCAACAGTCTTCTATGTTGCACGAATCGGCAGGCCCGTCCGGTTATGTAGCACGACCTCACAAGACCGGCTTTAAGTGGACGTTTTATACTTCTGCGTTTCCTCTGATGAGTGAGGAAACCGGTGTCCACTTTGTTAAAAGGTGGCAACGCATCTGGAACCCTACGGGTGTTGCAAATGTCAATGGGCGCCGGTTGTCACTGAACATCAGGAGAACCGCCAGCTCGTTTGCCACCTACTCACACAGAAAAAATACTCACTGTATACGGCGTGTCGTTACAACCGCGACAATAAATGAACACAGATATAGAGGAGCATTTTTTAAAATTGTATTAAGCATTTACATCCTTTAAACATCAATATTTACCGGGTTATTAATATATACAAAACAAACATTTTTAGAACATCCTTACGTATCCACTCTTCAGAACCGAAAAATCGGTAAAATACTCGAATACCCCTTAGGTAGCCAAACTGAATATGAAGTGAAGTAGTAAATGGTTATGAAGAATTTTTAGTTCTCAACATAAATAAAAAGCGAATTATTAGTGGAAAAGATAGTAGCAATTGCTCCCTTATGTGTCGACGCAGATACGATTATTGTTAAAAATTTCGATTAATTTTGTTTCAATTTATTCTACTTACTAGCATTTTTAATTAGATTTTGTTTGTATTAATTATATTGTTTGTGAAATATTTGCATGCGAATGAGGGGAAATATTTCTGTATTTTATATCTGCAATTAGAAATTTATATATTTTATTATTTATAAAATTATTCCATATGGAATATGTTCTTAATCTAATTTAGTTCCGTTCGGTTACTTAAAGCCATATTTTGTCCGTGCTTTTTAGTAGTTTATTAAAATACATAGTATTAAATGATTTTTGTGACTGTTGGTATATACGCAGAAAACTTGAAGCTTGAAACCTGTAATCAGAGAAGCCTATGTATTTTTCCCGGCTAGTACACAGTTGCGATGGTTTAAGTTCATTACATTCTTTAAATTTATAATTGTGGATTGAGTCCATGACATGATAATTGAAATATTATAAATTTTTAAAATAACATTACCTTTAATATGATATATCAAAAGCACTGCGACTGGATTAATAAAATGCATATTAAATTTATTACTTTTATAAATACAATCGCTAATTCAAGGTAATTGGTACCAAACTTATTGTGTTTTAACATTACGTTAATAGATTAATGCTCATGGATGATTAACATTCACCCTTAACTTCTTTTCTGGAACTACATAATATTAACTGATTTAATAATAAGGTTTAATATTATTACATAAACTTTTGAGCAGCACAAAAGCAGTTCCTTAACGTTTCTTTCACGGACTTCTTTCCGTATTAATAAACAGAATATTTTAACAACAACTTTTGATGTGAAACATCTATAGCCGCACGTAAAACCGATTTCAAGCGTGGCAACGCGCCACTCTATATGATGGTATACATATGCAGTAGCGTGTACGATTAATTACTCAAATTTAAATTAATTGTTAATAATTATTTATTAATTAAATTAACTTTAATTAATTGTGTGTACTATTACCGAAGTCACTGATTAAACGAATTAAGTAGTCACGATTTGAAATAAATTCGTAAATTGTTGTATTTAATGAAAATAAATGTTTATTCAATAAATAGTCATCGTTATCTGGAAAAAAAATCGTAATATTGTATTTTATCATTATGACATATTTAGTTCGTATCACAATCTGTTCTTTTCTGCATATTTTTTTATAAAATAATGTCGAAAATTATTTTACAAAATAATGTCGATGTTACACATCTGCCAGGCGTCCCGTGACGGCTCATTTTTTGTTTTTACCTGTCGGTAGGTGTCTTGTAAGAAATATTAAACGATACTTATAATTTTTTATGCGTGGCGCTACTACTTATTTACTTATCTGCTTTTCAATTTCAACGCCGAAATAGGTTAAATAGTGGTGACGTTTCAGTAAATTTGACGTATTATCTGGTTAAGTCAAAAGATGGCGCTGTTAGCAATTCTTTACATATATAAAGAGGCAAAATTCAGGTACCGTTTGTACCAGTGTGGTGTGACATTTACAATGCCTCACATGCCATGGTTGTATTATATCAACAAAAATATCACCTTCAAAAGTATTTTGTAGGTTAAACATGATGTGATTTCGCGTCGCCTTACTTCAGTTCGCGATAAACTTCGAGTGTTATAAATGGTTTTTAGTGAATCAAGTGTTGTGGATAATATTTATTTGTGTGATAAAAAAAGTGTTGGAAAGTGTTATTGTTTATTAAAAAAAAGTTTCAAAATACATAGGGTTAGCGCAACTTCCAAAAACTGCGACGAATAAGGTATATAATCAATAAATATTGAGAAATTTAGTCTTGTACGCACTTGTTGCAATAAATTCTTGCAATTACTACTTTCTAAACAAGAAGCGCCGCGATAAGGACTATAGGTCATTCAAGGTTAACTATGTAAATACCGGTACACATAACCTGAATTTCAGGAACTTTGGGTCACATTGGAGATGGAGGGTGACCTTTGCATTCCACACAAAGAAACTTTTGTCACACAAAATAATGCTTAATTACTTTTTACAGTTCATAGTCCAAACAATTTTTAAAGTAAATAAATAGTTTTTAAACTGTGTTATTGTTAAAATATTGTCTTTTCCTTTTTAATATTCTTTTTAATCTTCGTAACTTTTAGGGTAGTAACATACTTAACTTATGAATGTTTGTCAATTGGTTAAGTATGTACCTAAATAAGCTGAAATTAAAAATATTTAAATTATGATACTACTTTTCGGCTAATCTTCACCAAAATGTAACAGTAGTTATAGACGAATGATAAATTTATTTAATTTTCCTTCTCTTTTTCGCAGTTTGATGAACACACTGGGTTTTGAACCAGACGAGCTGGTTGGTCATTCCTTGTACGACTATCATCACGGTGCTGACAGTGCTTCTTTAGCTCATCAGTTCAAATCACGTAAGTGTTTTATATTTATTATAATTTAAATGTACTACATAGGTCTTTTAGAGGTCGTAGAGGCGAAACCGGGCTTAGATTTTTTTATGTTTATTACAATGTAGAATATATAAATTTGTTAAATAGTATAATTTACAATGACTAAGGGTAGACAAAATAGTTCCTATTTGATATTACTTCAATTTGAAATTCAACGCCCCCTGTGATATTCTCTTTACTATATTTATGATTGTTAATAGCGCCATCTTGTGTGTAAATTTTTGTTTTCCTTATCAACCGCTAGGTGGCAGAAGAAGCAATAGCTTTTCGGAATGTTGTTAATTTATGATAACCGATAACATGATACCTATCTTCTGTACAAAAATAATTTATTAATTTAAAACATGAGAGAGACGTATATCTGGCAATAAATTTTTATACTTTTATCAAAGTTTTATTGATCACATTTCGGTTGAATGACAGGTCGAAATGTTAACTTTCTTACTCGTGATAGTTATGGTGTTTAGAATAATAATCTTTTGCAATAATCATTTCAAGTTTATTTGACTTTACACCTATATTTTCCAAACTGTTCAGCATTCATATAATAACATAGTCACTATCAAATATTCACTAGATGCATTGTTAGCATAAAAGTGACCGTTAACTTATATCACAATTAGTTAGTGTCACCAATCTTCTTTGGAATTTTCCTTTATTATTTTATAAAAAAAAAAACTTTTTGTTTACCACGTTATTACACATAGGGAAATAAGAACTCAAAGCAGGAATGATATCTTGCGCAGAGTATATCCTCTATTCTATTGGAATTCCTTATGTATCGATTGGAATTCCCATAGTTGGTCTTTAGGCAGGCAATGCCTAAACGGAGTATTAGAACTTAATCAAAAGGTTTTGTTAAAAAATATTTTTCTTAATAAGAAGTGTAAAATAATTTCATGAAGCCCCAAACAGATTCCAAACGTGTAGCGATGGACATGAGAATTTTTAATTGTGGATGTTAATTGATCAAGAATAAAATCGCTGTAATGTAATCTTGCACATCAGATTAATTTATTATGTTCTATAGTACTATGTGCTGCCCAAAGGCCTTCCTATACATATATACGTCATACTTCTTATCCTTAAGCCTTGTCTTATATATAGGGAAATTCACATAATATCCTCCAAATGATGTTTCTGTTATTATTTCACACATTTACGAAAATTAAAACTAAATTGTCATGGTGCCACGTGATTACTCATAGGGTAATAATAGTGGTGACGAGATTTGAACTCTGATGGTCAGGAATAGTCAATTTTAATAGTTTTTAAAATCACTATTTGTTCTTAAAATTAAATTTAAAATGCAAATCGAGAGTTCGCAGTAATTTAACGGATTTTTATTAAGGAGTCGTGTCACGTAGAACTCATGTTGCAATTTCGACGAGCACTATTTATATTTTGCCATATAATGTAAATTATTCTATAGCATGTAAGAATTTTAATTTTTAGGGATGTAGTAATTTTCTTGAGTTTTTCGTGAGAGAAACAAACAATATAATTAATATATATGTGACTGAAAATTACATTTTCCAAGTACTTACTGTGTAGTAAGTAGGGTCATGTAACAGTTTTCACTGTTGCACGAATGGGCAGATCCTTCCGGGTAATTACCACGGCCTCAAAGAAGACCGGTGTAAAGTAGAAAGTGTTGCACTTCTGCGTTTCGTCTGGTGAGTGAGGTAGCCGAGGCCCACTTTATTTAAAGGTGGCAACGCATTTGCAATCCTACGGGTGTTGCAAATGTCCATGGGCGGCGGTTATCACTTAACATCAAGTCAACCGCCAGCTCGTTTGCCACTTTTTCACATAAAAAAAAAGTTTCCATCAAATTATATATCAACAATTTGCCCAAAGACAAATACAGAAAGAATAAAAAACAATATAGGTATGTGTAGTTATTTATGCAAGTAAGGTACTTCTTTAGCGTAACAAAACTTCATGTGCCAGTAGGTACTCTTTGTTTGTGAAAAAGACATTAAATTGATAATGGTTTAATTTAACTACTTGGAATAATGGGTAAATGTCAAAAAGTTGTATTGGTTGCCATGGTGATACCGTGAGGTTGGTTGAAGTTTGCTTTGCAGTCATCTTCATCATGTCGCTTTTTGTCTGTCGTTGTGTGCTGCACGCCCATCTTAAACATTTTACGCTCGTAATTTTTGCCAACCGCAACAAAAAAATATAACTTCAATAATTCATATGATTAACTTAAAATCTTATTTTTTTTTGTAGAATAAATTTCAGGGTTTACTTGTGTTACTTGAGTCCTTATTATTATAGCATTTTTTTTATTTATTTATTTTAAATAAAAGAGTATTTTATTAAATTTGAAATTTGAAATTTGTCACCCGGAAATCAGTCATACTATCTTAATTTTTTTGTAAACTGTCGCACTCTGTGGATCGTTTAGCCACGGACCATAAACGTCTGATATTAAAAGTACGAAAAAAAACAATTTTCAAACAAACAAAGCATTCTTATTTGCACTTTTTTGTTTTTGTAACCAACATTACGAATAAATTTTTAGCACTCTTATATATTTTCTTTTTGTTTATTAAAAAAATGCCCTTTAGGATAACATCATCCTGTATTATAAGGACGTTTTACAAACATACATTTCTCGCGGACAAACACCCAGATGCGAAACAAGTGGGTCACACAAATTGTCCCGTGTGGAAGTCGAACCCACGACCCCCTTGGCAGCTGTGCCACGGAGACATCAAATATAAATTTTAAAACTTAATATTATACGGCACGGGTACATATGCATTTCTTACCTTCGCGTATTCGTATATTATGAATATTAAGCTCGGAATGGCGACACGGTCACGTTATCAACGAACCAGCGGCTATTTCGGCACTTGGCTTACCGCCACGTTATGCACATGGACGCTTGAAAAAATATTGGAATTTCACCACCGCCACCAGATCATACGCGTATGTGCCGCACGTTTTATCTTTAGCCCGGCCACTTGCGTAATGCCTCTGTTACTTGTTTGTGCAAGAGGGCGATTTGAGTTCGCCAATTGTTAACCCACTGGCCGTTGCTAATGGGCTCCGTTTTCGCTTATTTATATTTCTCTGATAATTTAGAAACAAATGTACTTCGCTCCAGGCCTATAGGGGTCCATCAGAAGTCTCGCAAGAATAGTGCCTTTCTCCTTTATAATGCTAATTGGTCGTAAAAAATATTAATCCGTCGCTCTGTCTGTAAAAGGAGAAACCAACAAAGGTACTATCACAATTACTGGAGTTTGATTCATATCTCCGGCAAACGTTATAGTGGTCGTACATTTAATTTCGCAACACATCTGCGAGCCCACAGGCGTTGTGATGTCTATGGGCGGCGTCAATCACTTAACGCCAGGTGAAACGCCTGCTTGTTTGACTCTATCTTTCTCTCACGCATAGATAAAAAAAGAGAGCGATGTTGATTCAGCGACTTTTGGCCGGAATAATAGGTCAGGTTCGAAAAAGGTTTACGTTGGTACAGATCTTGAATAAAGTTTTAGCGAACAGACATGTATAGAAATATGAGGGCATGTTTTTACATAAAAGAAAAAGTGAGCAGAGCTTTGTTTTTAATGTGAAAAATTCTCAAGCGAGCTGTTGCGTTGCCCCACCCAGTTTAACTAGATATTAAGTATGTACTATGGATAGAGGAAACTGTTAAACATCGTTTTAATTTATAAAAATATAAGGATTATGAAATAAACAGCTAACAATAATTATAATTTAATAAATGATCATTTAATTATTGTTCCTGCAAAAAAGCCAATAACAACTACAATAATAGCTACTGGTCGTTAATAATAGAGTCGCCGGTGTCTTATCTTTGATAAATAAAATCGGTCATAGACTACGTGTTATCTTAAATAGACATCTCTTATGTAAGCTATGCTTACTTTGTACAGCTTGATTACTGCTTCGATCGATTCTAGATACGGACTAAGTTCAGCATTCATATGCGACCTATAATTTCGGGTTACGCAAGGCTCCCGAAATAGGCGTGCCTAAGCAAAGACACAAGGCTGTTTTGAACGGAAATTATCTATCGCCTCTAGATCAGAAAGTATCGAGATAAGAACTCCTTCGCTGGTAAACAGTCACAATTTTAAGACGAAATGGCGGACGTGTTCGGTGTTATATAAAATTATGTAAGCAATTTGAATAAACAAATGAAAAATGTTTATTTTGTCGATTGATACATTCACAGTAAAATTGAAACTCCTTTTATTTCAAAATAAGCCAAAATTTAAGTAATAACTTCTAATAACACGATGGCGTTTTTGGATTTTTTTTGTCTGTCGCTCTGAATTTTTATCGCCGCAAGGCTCAGCAATGGTTGAGGAGATTTTAATGAAGATTAAAGGATTAAACGAAAAACGAATTTATGTATGTAAGTCCTTACAACACAGGATAATATTATCCCATAGTCGTGTAAAAAAACTTTTTAATTTACATTCAACAACTGTATGTTATTTCGATACCTATTCAGGTTGCAAAAGATATGAATATAATTGTTTATAAAAAGTATATACGACATTGAGTTTTCCTTTCAACATATATGTTATTTATTCCACGGGAATGAAGTCGCGGCTACTTTAATAAAAACAGCGTCGAATAACAAACAGCGGCTTATGATATGCCAGACTAAACAACCGCCTCAATGTTATCTGATGCAAAACTGTGATACATTTAATTTAGAGTTCATCCAAATAGTCGTTATAATCTCAAAAAAGCCTCTATTTTTTATGTCAGAACGCGGCGAGCGTTATTTGTATTTGTACTTTATACTTGTATACGTGAAAAGGTACTTGTATACATTTTGTTTATAGCTTCTAAGCGACACTAGCTTTAATCTTTTTTTTAAACATTGCCCTCACTTTAGGATAACATTATCCTGTATTGTAAGGACATTTTACAAACATAAATTGCACGAGAACAAACACCCA